TAAGTGCTAACCATTGTGGTTTTCATGCTGTTTGTGCAACTTCCACAAGATGTGTGAAGTTTTCCATTTGCACTTTTCGCGCGGCAACTGATCCGTTGAAAATCCAAAGTTAACTTTACTCAAAGACTTGCGTTTCGCGATTTTCATGCGACAATTTTAAAGCGCGACTGATGCTGTGAACAATTGGAGAGCGTTTTATAATTTGCAGGCCTATTACCAGCCTTGGGAGCTTAGATCAGAGGTTAGATGCGAGATGGTTAATTTTTTAAAGTCATAATTTAAGTTTGTTGCTGCGATTTCTTTCAGTTGTAATTAGGAAACATAACACATAACATCTATCTATACTAATAATATAAAGAGGAAAGATTTGATTGTTTGTTTGTTTATGTGTTTGTTTGTTTGTTTGTTTGAATTGAAAAGGCTCCGAATCTACTGGACCGATTTAATGGATTCCTTCACTGTTGGGAAGCTACGCCATCGACGGTTAACATAGGCTTTATTATATTTGCAAAAAAGAATGGAATCCTTACTAAAACGCCAATAATGTAACCAAGGGTGTGAAAAAATTACCTTAAAAAACTCCTGAATAGCATGTTGTTAGTTCATAATCATCCTCGAAACATTGTCACTTTAAATATTAAGGCAAAATTATTCAACAGCCCCCAGCCAAATAAAAGATTACAAATCGGTCGACACCGTGATTAATATTGAAGACATTTAAATTCACTAAACCCTTCTGGACTGCCGCCACATGAATACCGAGGTAATTTCCGGTAGTCCCAAGGCCAAGCCTTCGAATTAGTAGGGATCGAAATACGAAAGCACTGTAGGTTGATGTATATCCAAATAAATTTGACTCCTTCTTAGTAACTTCTAGGTAAAAGAAGGGTGTGTGTGTGTTATAAAATGTATAATTTCTAAAATTTTTGTAAAAATACCCGTGCGAAGCTGGAACAGGAACATTATTCGAATGAAATGAATTTCTTAAATAAAAATGATATGTCTACAAATAAATAAATGTCTGTATTGAGTTGAAAACTCTTTCACCCTTTGCCTCGTTGCAATAAGTTTCAATTATATTCATAAGAATTAAAAATCTATCTGCTATCTTCAAATATAGAGCCGCAACCTTTTACTTCTTTATGCGGAATGCATATCCTAACTAATTGATCTTTATAATACTGTTCTGTAAGGATTCTTTTAATGGTTGAATAAGTTATTTATTTAATCTTACTTTAATATATAAATATGTAGATTCAAGAATCTTCATACAAAAACCTGAATAGACAAAATTGTTTGTTTATTCACTACTTAGGTTAATTTTTTTAACTTAAGGTAATGAAATCATATTGTTTTATCGAGCTTAAAATAATTTAAAAAGCTAGAAGATAGCTATAATCTCTTCTTTAATTGTAAGTGTCGTTTCGAAGTGTTTACGGAAAGAAAAAGTTGCATACTTAACGGAGTTTCTTTAAAGTTTAGCGGACGGGCGCAGTGTAGATTAGGAATTCATTCGGAATTATTGACAATAGATCAGATTAGAAGGTGACTCGTAATAAGTCCTGTAAGGATACAGATGTCTTAAGAGACAAAATGGGATGTTGCAGTACAATTGCCAAGCACTGTCTATTAACCTGATCTGTTCATGTCTGAATAGGGACTCAGAAGGAGTGTACTGATGTGTCGTTCGCACTGCAAGTGACTTGCCTTTATTCAATATATTAGCTTACGGCTCTTTTATTACAAATCTAAGCATCTATGAAAATGACAAAAGTATCTAATAACGAATCCGACACAGCTATGCCCCAATTCACAGCAAAGAGTAGTCAGATACGTTATTAGACTTATCAATTAAGAAGTGGAGATGGAAAAATATAGCAATAAAAGGTAGAAGAAAACAAATTAAATTTAAAATACTTAAATAATAAAATATAAAATATAATTAAAAATTAAAGGTGAAGAATCAGTGACTCGTTGGAGGAAAATTTATTAGCCAGTCCGGCAAGCTATGCACCTACTCACAGCAGTGGTGATCAGTGATTCTGCTGGAGGTAGCTGAAAATATAAGATTTTAGTGAAAAGTATTATAATAATCACTAGTGCATCTGTTAAGTTGAGGAGGCAGAAAGTTCCTTGTTGGCCTAGAAAGAACAGAAAAATTGAAACGACCTAAAAGCATAGAGGAATCAACATCTCCGACAATAAATTTGTGTAGGAACAGAACACCAAGAACTATTCTACGGTGAGCTAAAGAAGGCAGGTTAATATATACATATGTCAACAAACAATGACTGTTGACATAGGAAAACAATATACTTACTTGTATAGTATAAAAATTATTCAGAGAACCTTAAAAGATAGGAAAGCCAAGGTATTTAATAATCACCTCCGGCTCATAAGCCTATATACTACCATAACTTTTAATTAAAGTAACACTTTTGTGCAGAATTGGAAGCTTTAAATCTGTACAAAATTATATTTAATGACTTCTGAAATTAAACGTATTTGTGCGCAAATAGTTAGTCTCTCTACTCGCTTCATAGTATGTCTGGTAAACTACAAATTATGCATTTTACGATCCCTGCTAAGCTGTTCCGCAATTACCAACATCTGAATATCGGATACTCCGCCATATATTTCGGTCACTCTGGCATCGCGATAATATCGCTCGGCGGCACTGCTGTCGGTGTAGCCCAATGCGCCAAGAATTTGAACGCATTGATGAGCGGAGTAAACGGCAGTTTCGCTGGCAATTAGTTTGGCAACAGCACTGTCCTTGATGATGCACCTTTCGTGAACGCAACTATTGGCAGCCTTTCGAACTAGCAGCCTGGCTGCTTCGATTTTGGCGGCCATACGAGCCAAGCGTAGTTTGACGGCCTGTTTCTCAAAAATTGGGCTCCCGAAGGCACACCTACAATGCGCATAGTCGAGGGCAGTATCCAAGGCTGCTTGAGAGATGCCTAGAGCTTGGGAGGCGATTCCCACTCTAGCTTTATTCAGCTGATGCATGGCCAGCTTAAAGCCATCTCCAACCTCACCGATCACCATCGTTTTGGGGATCTTCACATTCCTCAATACAATGTCGCAGGTGCTAAGAGCTCTAATACCGAGTTTCTTGTCCGGCTTGGTCAGTTGAACGCCCTCCTGTTTTAGTGGCACCAAGAACGCTGTAATTCCCCTCCAATCAGTCGAACCTTTCATTTTTGCAAATATGACGCCAGCTTCGGCTTCTATTGCCGATGTCACCCAAGTTTTTCTGCCATTCAGGATATAATAATCCCCCTCTTCTGTTGCTATTGTTAAAACATTTGCTGCATCAGATCCCGCTTCCGCTTCACTCAATGCAAAGGCCCCTGGAATACCTTGGTATAGATAGGGTTTCAGAAAGAGTTCTTTCTGCTCTTCAGTTCCATGGCTGGCTATAAAGTCGGCATAGAGTATGTTGTGAATGGAAACGATCCCTCCTGTGGCTGCACAAGCTCGAGATAGCTCCTCAACGATCAGAGAAGCCGCCATTATGTCTAGGCCTGCTCCACCAAACTCTTTCGGCACCGTAATTCCCATCATTCCCATCTCGCCCAGCTGCTGAATTTGTTTGTAAGGAAAACATTCGTGTTTGTCCAATTCGGCAGCCACAGGTGCCAACACATCTTTCGCAAAAGCTCTGAACTTAGCTCGGATTTTCGTGTATTCCAGCTTAAGTGGACAAGTGCCAAACGATTTTCGCTCAAAGTTCGCGATTACTTGGCGACAAACTCTATTCAAGCGAGCAGCTGCAGTTGACATTTTCCTGAACTTCGGAAACAAATTTGACATCCGAAGCATAGGAAGGGCATTGAAAAAAGTTCAGAAAGAAATGTGGAAACATTAAAAGGAATTTGAAGGTTTCATCCCATTCCTGTAATCATATTATTCGTGACTAATGATAGAAAGTGTGGCTAATCTCAAAAAAAGGAGATTTGAAATGTGAATGTTAGCTCAAGTACATTTTTTTTGCCAACATTTAACAGTAGTTGATTATATTTTCAAAATTGAGTTCGATTAAGTTCAATTAGAAGTCACTTTTTCAACTTTTAGAGTAGCCAAAGACTTTCCCTATTATTTGAAGATCATTTTCAATATAAATAGTATATAAACTTGTAAGCACAAATTCTTTTTGACAAACAAAATGTTGTCCTCTATTTTAATTTAAGAAAAAATTATGCACAGTATTTAAAATTATAGATATTTTCTTGTAATCAACGACTTTATATTTTAATAACTAAGGCTTTTAATCTTACTTAAGTGTAATTGTAATTTTTGATGTGTATTGAAAAAACTAAACTTTGCAGAATTAATCTTCATAGCCTTTGCGATAATAAAAACCGTAATATTTAAAAAAAACTTACCATTTTTAGCCTTTTTATCTTTCGAATTTATTCTTTATTTTCTTATTATTCTTATTCTTATTTTCTGTACATATTCCTCTATTAGGGAAATTTAAGATAAATAATAGCAATTAATTACTTTACTTACTACTGCTACTACTTACTAGTCATTTTATAATCTACCTTTTTGGCAGGCTCTACTGTAAAAATTAAGCTGTACGAGTTGCGTTTCAATATAAGTAGCAACAGCCATTAATCGCAGTCGATTAACAATTAGCTACTGGAAACAGAATTACTTCTTATTAACGTTCTTACACATTTTTAATTGAAATTACAAACTTAATGTATATCTTTTACAATTAAAAGCAATCGATTTAAATTGATTTAAATATTCATTACTGCTTGGAGAAGAACTTATCCATTCCATTTCGATTTTAATATGAATATGCTGCGTTCTTATGAATTAAACATTGCCGACCATGAATCTTTTTCTATGCCACACTAACTGTCAATGAATTCAATTAATTAAAATCAAACTTGCACTTTCAGTTTTATCATCGAAGTCGCGACGCCTCTGCTGGCCATTGTTCAAATCAACTCAAATGCAAATCAATAAACACAACGACGAATGAATCGACAATGACAAAAAGTATTAAACGTCTCAACTCTAGTTGTAATCGCATTCTCTGTATTTATGTGGTGAGTTGATATTTTGAACATCTAAAACGATTTGTATATATGTCTTATTGATCGCACACTATTCACAGATATTAGCTTTTACTTCAGCCACACTTAGCACTCCCCCGCCCTGCGGCCTATATGGAGCCCCGCCTTGCCAATTCCTGCCAGCACCGCCGGGTCAGACGCCAAGTTGTGCGAGGCCCGGCAAAACCTATTGCGAACACGTCGATAACTATCCCACGTAAGCATATACTTCCATACTTGTATATAGCCAGAAACGATCATACACACGCACACACATATACTCGTATATATTATTTGTAATAAAGGGCATTTAACAGCCACAAAAGCAACATAAATAAGACACTTAATGTGCCAGTCGACAATCAACAGGCGTCTCTAACAACAACAATTATAACCGCAATGACAAACAGCCACAACATTATCAAAATCATTTACAGACACGCAAACACGTATTTGAAATGCATTTCAAACAAATGTTTGGCCAGAAGACAACAACGTCTTCGGCCAGACACATCCAACACATCTTTGAATGCCCCGATGTCTGTCTCTTCGTCATCGGGAGCGAAACTTGTTTCTATACTCTTGCGGAAAAGAGTATTATGGGCTTGGGGTTAAAGTCTAAGATCCATCGACGGTAGAATTATACTTAAAGTTTTAATTAGCTAAATATTTATTCATAGACTAGCCTGTCGGCTTAGATGAATACTGCATATATGACTTCTTCAGATTTAATTTTGGCCCAAATATATCAGTTATTATTTTATCACCATTCCATACCTTCCACAGAGCCGTTGCACTACCCTTGAAAATTGGAGACTTATAACTTTATTTATTTATTTCCATGCAAGCTTTTGCTTAAAGAGCAGGTCGCTTACCAAATAAATTGCTCGACAATCACCTTTTCTTAATTTGGGCGCCCAATATGGGGCTCTTAAACCCTTCTCACTTCTTACGGCTCTAATGCCGGCTTTTAAACCTGCCCAATATATTCAATATTAGTTACAAACCAATTTGGATGAAGTTTTAACTGAGATTTCTCGGATATCGCCAATAAGTGTGGATCAGAAACTCTATCTCAATGCAATTAGTATTCATTCAACATCAAACAAATTAATTAAATAAACCTTCTAAACCTTCCCAATATATTCAATATTAGTTACAAACCAATTTGGATGAAGTTTTAACTGAGATTTCTCGGATATCGCCAATAAGTGTGGATCAGAAACACTATCTCAATGCAATTAGTATTCATTCAACATCAAAGAAATTAATTAAATAAATTAAAATATTTTCTCTCCATTAATTTCACAATAATATGGATACCTTTATATACTTAAAAAACGTTGTCAACTGCTAATTTCAGAACAATCACCTGGGCTCAGTTCCAGATCTAATTATTTTCCAATTAAAAATAAATCTTCTGAACAGTGGGAATAGGTTTCATGCATAATTTGAAGTCCGAAAGAAAGAGTAATTGTACTTCGACGAGGCTTTGTATCGAGTTGTCTTTTCTTCATTTTTTCTCTCTCTCTCTCTCTCTCTATCTCTCTCTCTTTTGGCCAATTTGCATAAAAACTATTGTCGCCTATTGTGGCAGCTCTGGCTGCTTCCGCGACGCCGCTAACAACAACACCACCAGCAACAACAACAACATACATACAACATACAGTCATAGTCTCTCTGTCTCCGTGTGGTTGCTATTTTTGAACAATTTCTACAATTTAAATAAAATGTGCGTTAATGTTTCGATAAGTAAATAATGCGCGTAGCCCGCCGAAATATTCGGCGCCAGCTCAACAATTAAATAGGCGTTTTTATTATAGACTTGTTGCCGGGCCTACCAATTATGTCTGCGTGCCGGAATTTTAAGCGTCCATTGCATAATTCTAAAAAATTGCTTAGCCACGGGCAGGTCAGCCGATTCGGGCGTAGGTAGGAAAAACCAAAGCCTGTTTTCACTTTTGATGCCCTGAGGCTCCACTTTCGTGCCGGCGACTACTCGCACCAGCCGTTGCGCATGCGTCGTTGCATTGGCACGTGACAGGCATGCGATGGCCGACAGTCGATCAACGATTGTTGATAAGAAGCAAGACACACAACATAATCATATGCAAATAGTGTATATGACATGCTAGAAAGTCTAAGTGTCTAACCTATTTAATAGATGGAGGGAGGCATGTTACAGCTATGATCAGAGACAGAGGAATCGTCATGCCGTTCTTATGTCCGTCCGTCTGCATAAACACCAAGAACTTATGAAAAAGTAGCATCCAATTTCTGATGAAATTTATTACAAACAATACCTAGCCTCTTTATTTAATATCCCTGCCATAGGACCGACCAGTTCAAAAATGAGTTGTATATAATGCCACATGATATGCCACAGGATCTTCTATATTGAAGTTTTATCAAAATATAAAATATAACCATAATCTAAAGTTTTGTCAAAACTCATTGGCTGCTGAAGTGATGGTTGCATTAAAATGTGGGTAAAGGGTATTCAAAAGTCGAACTTGTACAAATTTAACTTTCTACTTGTTGGTATCAATCCCATCTAAACAGAAGTTAGTCAATTCATTTTAGTTGAAACTTTTAGTAGTTTTGGCTTACATTGAAGTAAAATCCTTTTTAAAATATTTCAAGTGTTTTGATTTCATCTTAAGAGCAAAGAAATGCTTCTTAAGAATAGAACAAAATTACAATAGGATTCTATAAAGTTTGCGAAGTGATTTATTATCCCGATTTACAGTCAAGTTTCTTCAAAAACAGTTTTTGGAAAAGCAACTTAATTGTAAATTGTTACTTAAAGAAAAAGGCGTACAGCCGGCAGAAGATTTGAAAGCCATTCCTGCTTAAGTCTAATTCTGATATCTCTCCAGCGATTTTGTTCGCCAAATTCAATATCTAAGAAAAACTAAAATGTTTTTTAATTTGGTGTGTTTAGCTCATAAAATATTTAGACAGACAGACTTAATAGAAATGCGCTTATTAGTCACATAAAAATTGATAATTGCAATGCAAACCAGTTTTTTGTATAAATATTTGGAGCTAAAGAACAGCACATTTCGGTTTCTCCTCAAGAGAGATCTAAAAATAAAACTGACATTTAAAGTCTAAACATTGCTTAAGCATACTTGTATATTTTTGAAACTATAGAGTCTCTTGCTGCGAGTGCTACACATATACTCGTATTTAAGCCTCAGTTATGCCATTTGAGGCTACCTATTTACATTATTCATATTATTGATGGTTTTTCTGTTAGTCTTTCTTTTCTCTCCTCGTCTGCCGCTCATTCTATATTGTACTCTTGGATTTTTGAAGAATTGGAAAATGAATCTTAATTGATTTATCGGGCTGGAGAGAAAATTGTAAATAAAACTCTCAGATTTTCTTAGACTGTTCTTCACAATCTGTATTCATTCTAAAAAGCTAAAAAAAAGAGACATGATTTTTATACATTTATTATATTTTGTTTTATACAGAAAAGACAACTAATTCTAGTCCGCATTAACAAATGTTTCTTGAATTTGGTTTCTGGTACAATAAAGGAAACAGTTTCAAAATTAATTTGTTGCAATTGTTATTTTAAGTATTTAAAAATCAATTTGTTGTTATATATAGTGGTTGATGGATATTTCCAGCACTCACCAACCAGGTCGTGTGCTTCCGAGTGTCTGTCCTTCATTAATTTGAGTTTCTTTATATTAATAATATAAATGAAATGTTTTAAGCGCCCATAGGCACACATACGACAGACCAACCAAATAATCATCCATCTGTCTGTCCGTCTGCCTGTCAATTTCTTTGCATGCGTTATATAAACTGTAGCTTTTGCAATAATTCCCAAGCACTAACAGCAACAACAACAGCAACAATTATCTAGCGAGAAATCTGTTACATCATGAGGCCGACAATAACGCAACAAACAAGTGTAAGGTGAAGACACGCATACACTCAGAAAAAAAGCTTAGATTTTCCAATATTTGGCTTTTTACAATTTTATTTTGAAATTAATATTTTTTTTATCTTAAGGTGATTTATTTCTTTAATTTTTTCATTTTGATTTTTCAAGTATTTTGATATTTTGTCTGAGCTATATTGATTTTCCAGCTTGGTGTTGCCTGTAAAATGACACAAAAGTTTACAAATACTTCCAAAGAACACAAAACGATTTTGAATAATTAAATAAAGAAATATTTCCATTTTTTTTTATTTTTGTGAACATTTTAAAGTTTTTGTTACTTGATTTTTTTTAGTTCTTTCCTGAATTGAGTTAATTTTCATAATGATTAATTGTATTGTTGTTTCTAATTAAAAATATTTTTGATTTTTGTTTCATTTCATTGAATATTAAGTAAATTCATTTATACTTAAAAGCAAGTAAAATAAATGGAAGAAATATTAAGATATTGTGGTTTGATTTACATTTTCTTATCTAGTTAGTGTTTTTGTTCCTTTTTTTTAATAAATATTATATAAAATAAATAATATCTCACATGCAGTAAAAAAAACTTTCTTTAAAAACTTAAAAACTTCTTATAGCGGGCTCCAACTCACATATAGTTAAACACTATACATTTTAAGAAAACTTCAAGCGTAGTGTGTATTTCTGAATAACATTTTTCTGAGTGTAGAGCGACCTGCAGACAACAACCACACCTCATTATCAACGCCCATCATCTTCATCAGCATTCCAAAGCGCACACAGACGACTCATTGTATTTTTTTTGGCTTACATTGTTTCGCACCGCCCGCAGATATCTCATCAAGAGTCTCGTTCGGAAATGGGGCTACGAGGCGACGCATTTGCTGATAGACGAGACATGGGAGGACTTTGCGGCAGTGGCGTGGCACGATACGCCCGTTTTCTACGATCCCAAGTCCATATTCCCGCAACGCGATTTCAATAATGGCAACGGGCACGATTTCAATGGATATAGCTATCAGACACCATTCGGAGGCGCGCCACAACGCCCCGGCGGTACCAGTAACTCGCTTTTCATAACAAATCCCACAACCGAGCTGCCAACGTGAGTACAAGTTGAACGAAGTTAAATGAGAATGAAAAGTAATGAAATGAAAATGCGTTTTCCATCGTCAGCTACTTGCTGTACACCACATCGGGTCAACGTCTCAACTTTAACAAACAGCAGCAGCAGCATCACCAACAACAACAACAGCAGCAGCAGCAGCAGCAGCAGCAGCTGCCCAGTGGGGGGCAACTGTTTTATAACCAGGCGGGCAAAAGCACGCCCTACAACGCCACACTCTGGCTCAAGCGTTTGGTGCGCGATTTGAGCCAAAAGCAGAAACTGCAGCAGGAGATTGCCAAAATGGTGGAGCAGTCTAAAGAAAAGCTCGAGGAGGAGGAGCAGAAGGAAGAGCAGCAGGAGAAGAAGGAGGAGAAGAAGGAGGATAAAGAGAATAAGGCAAAGGAGCAGAAGAAGGAGAAGGAGCAGGAGGAGAAGGAGGAGGAGGAGGGAGAGCAGCTGCAGCAAAACAAACGCGATGTCTCACTCAACATGGATCTCTTAGATATTGTAGGTGTTGAGCCGGATGAAAAAAAATCAACAGCCTCACGCATGAAACGTCAGAGTCCTGGACGCTCGACGCTTTGTCAGACCACCTCACAGTTCATCACACCACAGGCGGCCCTCAACAGTCGCGGCAACTGGATGTTTGTCGTGAATGAACAGAATACGGCTCGTCAAATGGTCAAGGCGGAATTGTGCGCGTAAGTACATTTTATCTATTAATTATCCAATTAATTTAACACTAAAACATCATTCCGGAGCTCATTAATATTTAACCGGTTTAAGTCATCAATTCTATAGAAAACCAAATTAAAAAACTTTGGACACTGTTTTTTTTTTTCCTATCACACAACTCTTCATTTTGTTTTATCTAGAATGGTTAACTTCTAATTTCGATCAACACTTCTGAAACTGTGAAGCTTCGCAGATCTTTTTTAAGCTATATTAGAAGATCTGCTTTTTTCAACTTTCCTAAGAAACCCTGATTTTGGATAAATGTAATGCCAAATGCGGCTCAATATGTTAACTTCTAATTGCGATCAACAATTCTGACACTGTGAAGCTTCGCAAATCTTTTTTAAGCTATATTAGAAGACGGGCTTTTTCTCTATTTGATTGTTAATTACAACGTCAATATAATTCTTTATATATAACCTTAACCGAATTTTGCAAACAGATGTAATATGTGGGATCCCTCGATCCACATTGATGGCAGAGCTTGGAGCAGCTAGATAGTCCAAACAAAGGCCCAACTTGACTGTAGAATTGTTAAGTAGCTCTCTAGAATAAAGTTGTAATTTGTGAATTGAAAAGGCATGGAATCGCGTAATAGACGGGAAAGTTTGTGCCACTTTGAATCCGGTGGTAATATTCAGCATTAATTAATCAAAATCCTTATCGCCTAGCTAGCGGTCCATGAGTTCTACAAGAAATTTGTGAGTGAGGAAATAATTTGAAAACTGTGAACTCTCCACTTTCCTTAAGCTGCAGGCATCGCCATCGAGGGCGAATTCAGGCGAGCTCTAGATAAAATTCCCTCCGTTGCCACTTTTCCACCATAACTCTCAGAGAACCATAAACACACATTTACTTTTCATTTAACAGAAGTCTTGATTTTTCTAGTTTAAATTATTTGCTAGCGATTTCAGCGAAAGAGGGGCTGCTTTTCATCTATCATTTGAGGCATAGATGAGTTATTGAATTTGAAGAGACCTTTTCACACTTGTTAGGCGAATATCTGCTGCTATTTTTTCAACGAAATCATCCATCATCAGCAGCTGGCTAACATTCGCTTTTCAAATATGTGTTTAGAATTATATTGATAACTACAACAAATTCTATCCCTTATCGTACGCCCACATCCCCGCTGACATCATCACTTAGGCTGCAAAAAAAAGCATATGTTTTCTCTCATATTGCAGTTCAAAATCTCAAAAACATTCCTTAAATAGAAAGTAAAAGTTGGCCAACCTTAGACAAATTCACAGAGGCTTCGGGTCTTCAGGGTTCCTTTTTCCAATTACCCAACCAGACAAATAACTTTATTGGCAATCCCATGATTCATAAACGATATGTTTAAGAGTGTGTAAACAAAGCTTCAATATTTTTCTTTTATTTACAAGTAATTAATTAATATATTTTTCGGAATTAAAAGATGTTAGAAATGAACTTTGATTTGGTTTGAATTTATTTAAAACTCGTATAAAAATAATTTGCTTATGTTTTCCCATTTTTAAACTTTTAGCTATTTTTAAATATGCTCAATATTTTAGAATTTATGTTTATTTGACAGTAATTAAACAACTAGCAGAACCAACTTTATGACAAAGACGCAGTTAAAATTTGAAAAAAGGTCATTCTATGTTTAAAGAAATCACATAGTTTTCTTGAATTTATTAAAGTTCGTTGGGTATCATTTACTTCGATATTTTCCATATTAATTGTCAGTTCGTTGCCTGTTTTTAAAATGGAATATAGTTGTCAGAAATGGGCCTTCTAGTGTTATGTTATTAAGCAGATGGGCTTGCAAATGTTTTAATTAAAAATTAATTAATATTATAACGATCTTGAATTCACTTTCAATTCTTCTTAAGGCCACAAACCACACTTACATCCAAAATCTTTGGAGACCCCTTCATAGGTCATTAAAACCGCCTCATTGTACGCCTTGCGTTTCGCTAGCGTTGCTGACGCGTTTTATTCGCGTTTTTGTGGCGTTTTTAAAATTGCTTACATTGCCCGTTTTTGGTTTGTGTCTCAGCTACGTTTCACTGCTTGCAAGCAGTTCATTTGCTTCGTCTGCGCCTGTCGTTGAACTGCTTAAATAAGTGAGCAATGCTAAGTTTAGAAATTTGTCTGATTTGTTAGTTTTTCTCGTTTACTCATTAAATGTGTAACCACAATTGCTGCTACGCCCACCACAACCACCACCACCCCTTCCCATCCCCTGCACCACTACGCATGCCACACTTGTTACGCAATCAGCATTCCATCAAGGTGGTGTCGGTTTCACAGCGGGATTCACACTCCGAACCTTACTCCTTTCCCCCTCCATTTCTTTTAAAGCATTTTATTGAGCTTGGGCTTAGGTTGTTAGGGGAAATCTTCACACACACACAATAACACACAAACACACGCACACACTTGCATACTACTTCAATGTTTTTATATCATAATTGCGGTTAAACGAATTATAACACCCCGGAAAGTACGAAAGAAAGTCTTTGCCGAGTGGCCGTCGAGGCTTAACCGGCCTGGCCTGGCCTGGCCCGGCCCCTCTATGTGCCTCTACCTTTCGGCACTTGAAAAAAAGCGCAAACATTGAAATGCGAAATAGGGTGACGACGTCATGACCCATTGCCAGAGAGCCGCACACACACGCACACGCTTGTTCCCAATAGCGAGTCGCGGCATAGAATTTAGCAGCAAGGGGGTCAGTAGTCGATGCGTGCCCTAATTGTTGCCCATCCTTTGCTGCAATTTGTTTAACCAAATGCGCATCATGAGTGCCTGCCCATATGCATACTTGTATATATGTACATATGTATGTGTGTACGTAAATGTAAATCTTGGCAGCAACAACAGCAGCAGCCACACGCAACAGCTGGTCCAAGTCGCGGAAAGTAGCGGAAAAAATGAAGTTTCTGCTCCTCTTTATCAATTACGTACGATTCCCGTTTTAACGAGTTCGTTAAACTTTCAACTCTGCCACGACGCAACCGTGGCAAGGACTTTGCTCGCCTCGCCATGCCTTTCGCAGCTCTGCCTTCGCGCCCAGAGCACAGTGGTCCAAATTGTTAATAGCGTTCTTTAATTCACTCATTTCAACTTTCTTAACTCACTCACACTCACAGAAAATTGATTCTATATCAGTACACCTAAATCCGTTTTTACACGGTCGATTGGATCCAGAAAAGGTCGTGTAAAAGAAAAACATTGATCATATGTTATTTTGAATCGTGCTAAATCGAATAAAGTCATTTGAACTATATAATTTTAATTTTCAAACCGTCTAAAAGCAGAATTAGGTGTATTGTGGTTTAGTCCTTTAGTTTTCCATCATTTTTTCAATTCCATTTTTATTTTTATTTTCATTTTTATATTCTTTTCAATAATGTATAACAATTTTGATTGATAAAATATACAATTAATTTTACTAGCCTTTTCATAGTTGAGTTCAAATCGAAAACAAGTCATTTCAGAATTTTAGTCCAAGCTCACAAAGAAACAGAGATGAAGGCTGAAAGAGAGAGAGAGAGAGAGGCACGATAAGTTCTTAAAATGATATAACTTATTTATTACTTGAAGCAATTTTTGACTTTGCAAATTAAATGAAATGAAAATTCCACTTATCCGAAGTATTGTCGATGCATTGAAACAAATATTGTCTTGTTCTACGCTCATCTTTTTGCCCATTAACTATCACTTAATCGCCCTTTCAATCTCCCGCTGAAACTCTTTCTCGAACACAACAGCTCTTTGTCTCAATTCGGTAATAATATATACTTGTATTATAATAATCTTTTCGATATCTTCTATGCTTTTTTCAATACATAAATCATATATTTAATTAACATATTTTATTAAGAAATGCAGGATTAGTTGAGTTATTGCCAGTATTGTCTGGAATAACAACTAACACATTCAGTACTCTCCCTATTTTTTAAGCTTTCACCAGCGCTCAGATCATATTTGTTTTTAATTTTTGATTAACACATTTTCTATTCTATATTTTATGTTCTTGTGGTTTTTGTTAATCTGTTCCACTGTGCAGCGCTATTATTTTACTTTTCGCATTTTTTGTTTTTGGCTTTCGCGCTTCTTTATGAGCAGAACCCACAACTAAATTTCTTACAGTTGCTGGCTTTCGCATTCGCATTCACAATCGCACTTCGAACTTTATACATATAGTATATGTATGTGTATATGTAGTATATATTTAGTGGCCGATTCCCGTTTACGTTTCTTTCTCCCTGTGTGTCGCTTTTAGCTCAAACACCTGCTCGAATCTTTGCGAGCTGCCCAATGGCTACAATTCCAGATGTGAGCAGAAATTCGTACAAAAACGTTTAATTGCGCTCCAGGGCAATGGACAAAATCTCTACACGGACACGTTCTGGTTTCCCAGTTGTTGTGTTTGCACGATAGCCGCCAATTGAGCGCCACTGGAGGAGAAACAGCATGCGGGAGGACGAACAGTAAGTGAATGGGGAAGGGCACGGAAGGAGGACATGCACGCGCCGGCCCTGTCATCATAATTATTATTATTTTGCATTGAGCGTTGAAATTCGTAATAAAAAGCATTTTGCAATAATTGATAAATAAATTTTAAAAACACGCACACACCCATACTCACACAATACACAACACACACGAACACACACACACACACACACAACACGCATACGAACAAAATTGTACTGTAGTTTTACTTTTAATTTAAAATACAATTACGAAAGAAAACACACACAAATGTACAAAAGTGCAGCAAAAATTGAAAATTGCAATAAACAAAGATGAACACGAAAAAAACAGCAGCAGAAACATAAAATTCGCTTTATGTGGTCTCTTAATTAATTTAGTTTTGCATGACAGGTGTGTAAACTTGTGGTGCTATTCTATACCCTATACAGGAAGGATAATATCGACTACAGAGTGATGGGAAATGCAATGTTTCTGGTTTTATTCTCCATATCCGATTCCCGTCTCCTGCTCCTAACCTGTCACAGAAGCATCGGACTACCGGACTGCTAAAAATCTTTACCATTTTTACCCTTAAATTAGTCCTTAGACTTATTCAGATTCACTTATCGTTTTGAAACTGACGTAGCATACTAATGCTTACTGAACGTAAGTATTCGTCAAGCAGCGTTACTTAAATCGAAGTGCAGTGGTAATACAGTGTTAATTCAATGATAATACAGTGGTACTGTTTCGATAATACAGTGACGGTGTAGTGATAATACAGTGTATCGCTATGAAGAGCATCATAAATCGATTAAGCCCGAAACGAACTAATTGCAATTATTATTCATAGTACAGGTAATGATAGTGAAGTGATAAAGAACTACACCTGCAGTTTAAATCCTTTACATCCATAAAAAGGTTGAAAAACCCCGTTGATAGCTCCTAACCTGGTCAAGCAATAAATTAACTTCAACCCTTCAATTGAGCTACTAGTAATATATTTATCTTACGCTGTGATTATTTTTGCAGAGCATTTAATCTTCGGTGCACCAAAACGAATATCGTTTTATTTGTTCATAATAATTGTTAAAATAGCAAAGTGCAGCAACCGCTGGGTCCTCTTTCGCTGCAGTTGTTGCCACACAGCACTGCAAATGCGTTTCATAAATCCAAAAACAATAATCATAAAATAACATCAGGTGTCACGCGTACGAAACGCAGCCAACGCTGAAAGGGAGGACGCTGAGGGCGAGGACAAGGGCCCCGGCCAGAGGCGAAACATGCTGACCTGGAGAGGGAAGGACTTTTGGTTCGTCGTTCGTTCGGTTGGTTGCCTGCTTGATGGGTTGATGAGTCGATAGCCGGACGTATTGGCAACTACAATTTGATGCTTGCATTGACGTATGAGTCCATCAATATACGTATATACATATGTGTCGATGTGTGTATTGCGGGTATTTGTGGCAAACTGGTGTGGAACCGACCAGTCCGCAGGATGCGAGGTAATGCGAAAGGATGCGCCAATTGAATGCAGAATTTCCACGAGAGCGCCTCTCTCTTGCTATGCGATATCTACTATTTGAAATTAAAAGTCGAAGCTTGAAATTATTGATTGATGGATCTTAAAATGAAGGTAGATGGGTAAATAGTCAGCACTTGACAACGATGCCTTAATTAAGCAGAAGCATGACGTGTTTTTGAAAAAAGCTGGTGATATTTGTTTCACAGCTACAAATGATTATCTTTTGTTTATAAAAAGTGAACATAAACTTGACATTCCTTGCTATAAGTTTTGTACTTTCCGTGATGCTTGCTTGCTAGTCAGACAAGCAAACAGTCGAATAAGCAGAATCTACAATACCTTTTCTGAAGGTTGCTCAGATTTCCAATATTTGTCACTATAGTTCAATTCCTTGATAAAACGAAGAAATTATTGAAAAAGTTTCAACTATTGTGTTTATATTTCCTTATGTTCAAAACATTTCATTAATGTTTGTTATTAAGTAGAAGAATTGCATCTAAAGAAAAGGAGACCTACATTAAATTGATATTGTTCGGAAAGCAAAGGATTCCTGCTCCAAAGAAATCAAATTTCCTCTAGCCTTCACAGTCGCATACTCTTCTAGCCGTAACCATAAAATTACTCCCCAGGGTGTTACTTCAATTAGAGTCAACAGTATTTGTGAGTTTGTTATGCTGCACGCAATCTAAATGCACTTTTAACTGCAAAATCCTGACACTCGATGTTCGGGCAAGTGCCGCAAAGGACCTCTGAGGTGCAACAGCCTCTGAATTTACAAATTCGTTTCTCTTACCTGTTGTGGAAATCAGGCGTGCCTTTTCGTAACGAAACAAGTCGGAGCCAGGACAGCCAGCAGGAGATTCACCCACCCACTGTGAGAAAGAGAATTCACACACACATGCATATTCATGTGTATATACTAAGGGTAATTTGTAGTGGAAATAAATATGTGTGCCTATGTGTGAGTGCGCTCTGAGTTTTAGCAATGATTAGCATCACGAAACAGAAAACTATTGTTCCAATACGCAGCAACAATCCATCCATCCATCCATCCATCCATAAAGGCAGGCCAGTCACATAGTATTCAGACAGTCCCAGGTAAAAGGCCAAAAGACTACAAGGATACATTGTGTGTGTGTGTGTGTGTGTGTATGTGGCTGTGATTGAAAGTAGCACACACGACATTGACAAATCAGGTAAGAATTAATGTATGCGATGGAAATAGAAAAGGAAAGGAAAGGAAAAATGACAGCCAACTAAAAAATACAATTAAATAAAATGCAAACTTTGCATTTGAACGCCATCTGCAGAATTGAGAATTGAACTTAACAGCAAACTGTTAACTTGCAGAGGAGTGTGTGATCGAGAGAGCGAGAGAGCTTCAGGTTCGGTCACTCAATGAAGAGCTGAGCTGAAAGCAGCAGCTGAAGTTTTAAGCGAACAGCAACAACAACAAGAACAACCAACTGTAAAAGTAAGCAACAACAACTGACACAATAACGCAGCACACATAAAGCAGAAGAAGCAGAAAAAGAGGCAGCAGCAGCGGCAGCGGCAACACAGGGCAGCTGATGTTGACGCTCACGCTAACGTCGACGCCGGCAGCGCCTTGTTGTTTGTGTATAAAAATTTAACATCTGCTCCTTTCATGATTTCGGAAAACTCAAAACTCGAACGAACAGCAACGAACGTTGTAACTGTGTGTGTGTGTATGTGTGTGCCAATGTATATACATACATACATATGAGCACGTAGTTGTTGTTGTTAATGCATTTGGCTTGTGTTGCTCGCATTACGTGCATTTCGTGTATTTTTGTTGTTGTTGCTGTTGTTTGTTGCTGTGAGATCTTTGGGCAGTTGCAAGTTCGCAGGATGAAGATGATGATGATGATGTTGGTGTTGGTGTTGTTGATGACGTTGATGATGAGCAGCAAGCTGTATGTGGCCGTGGCGTGCATTCAACCTGACAGTCAGCAGCGGCTCCTGGCTCTGCTTCTTGCGTTGCTCCTCTCTTGCTGCCCTACGTTTGGTCCTTCTTCCGCTCTTGGCACGCTGCCTTTTGCGGCAAAGTGTTTCATGTTGTTGCTTTTTATGACGTCCTTTTTTGCGCGCTGGCGCGTTTCTTTCATTTTTCAAATACTTTTCTGCAACTGTCAGTTGGGTTGCTTTTAGTTTTATTTTGTATTTCCTTCGTTCTTCCTTGCGCTTTTTTGTGCTGTTGCATGCAATGTGAATGTCCTTTGCTGCCGCACAAAGGACATGACAGACACATGCACATTTCTTCGACACGGAGTTGCCGCAATGCTTAACTAACTTTGTTGCTCTCGCAAAACTTACAAGCAAACTCAAGAGTTACGCACAAAACCTCCACATTTGGAAGATGCTTCTACAGAGACAGTGGTCGCCCGATGAAGAGAATTGTAAGCGAACGCAACTATAACTCGTTCCTAAATTGCAGAACCCACAGAATGCGTCATGGACCTTTCATTAGAGGGTTCGAGGCAGGGCGGAGATCAAAGCATTAAAAAATTTAGATTACAAATATTTATAATCTCTTATATTAAGAGTAATCCATTCTGAATTTTTGTTAAGCTTATAAGCGTTTGAAGTTTATAAATTTGGATAATTATTGTTGTAGTTATTTTTAATATATTAAATTTATATTAAATTAAATTTTTAATATATATATTTGTTTAATGTTATAAAACAGAAGATTCAGGTATGTGTTATTTAACTCGACGCCGCACTTTAGTTTTGGTGCGGCAATCAAATGCGTGTTGAAGACATCTGAAGAAGCGTCAGTTGCTGGTTATGTGGCCCATGCCACATCCTTCCAAGTGTGTGTGTATGTGTGCGCGTACGTCTTTATTTGTGCAGAAGTAACTTTATTTCGTTATATGCGTTTCGTCTTTGATTTTTGGCAGCTTGCGTTGCCACAACTGCTAATGATGAGCATGTATGTACATACATATGTATGTATGTATGTATGAATGCATGTGCGTGTCTGTGCTGAGTTCTTGGGTGTTGCATGGGACAGGTCAGTGTTGCGTAAGGGTTGGGTTTTGCCTTTCTTGACAGGCCAGATTTTTCATTACGCAATGCAAATAAACGTCGCTTTCCCATTCCCATACCCATGCCCATACCCATGCCCATACCCATGCCCTGCGCTGTCCAACCCTGCCCTAACTTACCACATAACCGTATCCTGACTGCATTTCCGTGTCCTGTTCGCGCATCAGCAGCAGGTAACAATGCAACTGCGAAGGTTTTTTTTTTGCCTTTTCGTTTGCTTCCGAAATTCAAATCCAATACATGTGCTGCATGGCAACATCAAAGAGCATGCACAGACGCCACTGCCACGCCCCCACCGCCGTTCCGCCTTCAAGCAGGCACAACAAAATGCATGGCCCAAAAAACAGTCAGCAATGCACACAAAGTTGAACTAATAGT